GGGGGGGGGGGGGGGTTCGCATCGCCGCCCCCCACAGCACCGCTCCTGCCTCCCCACGCCGGCCGGAGATCCCCCCGGTAAAAAATTGTTTCTTTTGTAAAAGTTCTGGCAAATTCAGGATCTTTTAAAGGGGCTTCATATAATCAAGCCTCTCCATCCCCTTGTCCCCTCTGGAGCTCAACGAGCTGGAGACTAATTGCGACCTGGCTGCCAGCGGGGTGATTCCATCACCTCCGGCTTCGTTTTGGCTCCACAACTTCACAGGCAGCCTGGAAAGGCAAAATCTCAATTCCTTGGGGCGAGGGGGATCCCAGCGGGAGGAGAAGAGAGTAAAAACCCCCTTAAAAAGGGTTTTCCAGCCGCTCACGGTGCTGGCGGCAGCGGGCTGGAAGGGAACGAGATGCGCCGCAGCCCTGCCAGCGGCTGGCAAGGGAAAATGCGAAACACACCCTGGGGCAGGCAGCACAGCTGGGAATTTCTTGCAAACTATTTCCCTGCGCGCGAGCAACACCCCGGGAAGCTCGTTCACACTTCAGCGGAGAGATTTTCCCCACGCCAGAGGCACTAGGCTTTCGGGAGGGCTGATGCGGCGGGGGAGAGCTGAGCAGCAAAGCGTGCAGAGCTCTTAGCAGTGTAGAAAGAAGTGGAAATCAGCCCGGTTTTACCCGCTTCACGGCTTGCCTTCCAGTGCCCAGAAGTCCTAAAGCCACCACAGGTCCCACTGACGTAGGCCAGAGTGGAAAAATACATATAGTCACCCGGGACACCCCTCAAATTTGGGGGAAATTGGGCTTAAGAGATGCTATTTAGGCAACGGTTGTTGCTGTGAGCATCACCATATATATTCCCCGGGGAATGTTTGAGTCCCGGGATGGCCGGTGATGGGACGGGAAGGGGCACGGCCATCCCGGCTGGCGCAGGTGACGGGACAGGAGTGCTCTGCGGAGGTTATCACACCTACTGCAAATCTAATCTCTGCTTATCACATATCTCCGACGACTTCCTACGAACACCAGAAACCAACTTTCTTCTCTTATTTTCCTGTGCACAAGTTCCATTTTTCTGCTTCCTAAAATGATAACGGAGGCATTAAAGACAATATTGACCCAGTTTGCTCAGCTTCCCTTCAGTCCACTCCATCAACAGCATTTATGGTCCTTGATCTCACTAATTGCTCGGGGTGCTTTCCTGTGCAGAGTGTGCTGCAGGCAAGAACACCAGAAACCAACTTTCTTCTCTTATTTTCCTGTGCACAAGTTCCATTTTTCTGCTTCCTAAAATGATAACGGAGGCATTAAAGACAATATTGACCCAGTTTGCTCAGCTTCCCTTCAGTCCACTCCATCAACAGCATTTATGGTCCTTGATCTCACTAATTGCTCGGGGTGCTTTCCTGTGCAGAGTGTGCTGCAGGCACGAACCGCGGCGGACCTCCACGTAAAATAACAGCCAAAGACACCCTTTTCCCAACCTAAAAAGATAGGGAAAAGCCCCCATAATTTTTTTTTCCCCCCCCAGAATCCTATACATTATGACTAAATGTTGAGTCTTTAAAACTTTTAATTTTGCTGGTGGTTCTCATCAAGAGAATAGGAAACAGGACACAGCGGCGGAGCGGTCATGCCAGTCCATCCCTCCATTCCCACCAGGAACACCGCAAATCAAGACCAGCCGTCCTCATGGTTTTAATCACTCTCCTCTTTATTAGGAGTTGGGCAAGTCACCCCTGGCGCTGTCACACTCGAGTACCCAGAAATTTTCATTAAGGGAATTCCTAAAAATATTTGAAGCGTCTTTTTTTTTTTTTTTCCTTTCTCAGAATGGATTGCAGAACAGATATTTTTGAGAAGCCAAGCAAGGTATTTATAGTAAAAGGCCAAGCTGTCATGGAAGATTGGAAGGCTTAAATGTAGAAGGGCTGTGTCGATGGGTTGGGACCCCCCTTGTAGGATGGGTGTGGGGAGTCCTGGCAAAGGAAGGCAGCGAGGCCACGCTTTAGGAACATGGTGTATGAGTTTGGGATGAAAAAAGGGACACGGTCACGGTCTTTCAATATTAAAAAGGCTGTTGGAGAGGGACAGCGTTAAATTGGTCTGCGGCTCGACTGAATCCAATCGAGCAATTGGCTTCTTTTGCAACATTCAGATCGGGCAGCAGGGGAAACCCAAAACCGCTCCCGCTCCGGGGATGGAGGCGGTGGGGCCGGGCAGCCTCCGGCACTGCTGGATTTCCCCCCTCTCCCCTTGGGAGGGGGGTGGGTTAAGAAAAATGCCAGACGGACATCTGCCAAGGACAGGCTGGACCAGGAAAGTCCAAACAGGGCAAGGGGCATCTGCAGCCCTGGGAGCAGCTCAGCCTCCGGCCGCTCTCCCCATCCCCCGGGGTGACAGCCGGGCTCGGCAGCACACCCACACCCCAGGACCCGTCCCTCCCTCCTCGGGGCAGCCTCGCAGGCTGCACCGGTCCCCAGCTTCACTGCAAAACAGAAGACAAGGTGGCCTCTCCCCATCTCATCCCGTTCTGGCTTTCCAAGGTCTGTGTTGGCATCCCCGTGCCCTGCCGGAGGAGAGCCCGGGTACCGTGCTGCTGGAGAGAGGGATGGGGCTTGCTGCTGCTACGGGTGGTGGAAAAGTGGCCGCGATCCACCGGGGAATGGGGGAACAGGACAGAGCAAGACACTGTCATCAATTGACCGGCTTGCCCAGAGGTATACATGGAGCCGGCAGCCAAGGGGAAGGTCTGCGAGTCCTGACCCCCCCGCTCCAACCCTCGAGCCCACGGCCGAGGCCGGTGCTGGCTGCTTGCTGCCCCCAGACATGAACCCCCCGTGGGCATTTGGCAAAGGGAATACAGAGTTTTCCAAACCTGGGCCAACGCCTGCCTTCAAGCAGCCGGCTGCTTATCTGTTCATCCATCTGCTTCTGCTGGTGCCACCTGCGTGGTAGGGGAGCGGGTAGGTGGGAGCTGGAGAGTGGAGCCAGGAGCTCTCCCTGCTCCCCAGCTGCTGCTCCTTCTGCCTCTGCTCCTGCTGGGCCAGCAAGCGCTGCAGCTCCTCCTGGTCCTTGAAAGGGTTCCTGCCGTAGTTGCGGTGGATCCAGGCGCGGTACTGCCAGGACAAAGCCAAAAGAGGTCGTCAGGGCCACTGGGGGCTGAGACACCCCCAGTTCGAGAGCCGGGGCTTGCAACAGCCCCGGTGGAAAGCAGCAAGCCGAGCGGGGGCAATGCCCGCTGCATCCCAGCCGCAGCCTCAGACGAGGCCGGGGGATCCCCAGCCACAGCCAGCAAGCAGAAAGGTCACGGTTTCGCAGGAGCTCGCATGCCACGCGACACGACCGCGTCGTACGAGAGATGCGACGGTTCCCCCGACCGAGTGCTCCCCGCATCCCCAGCCCAGCACAGACGGACCCGGAGAACTGGCAGCGTCCTCAGCTTCTCACACAGGCTGCAGCCGGGACAGCAGCTTTATTTACTTTTCATTGCCAAGAAGCTGCTGCCGTCTCTTGTGTGCCTGAATTCCTGTAAGAAAAGCTTCCTCACGCTCTCACCCCGCCGTGGCTGCCACAAGCTGCACGGCCAAGTCGGCTCTTGCATGCTGAGGCAGGTTTGTTTGCAGAGCGTCTTGCTCGCCGCCGGGCAGTTGGGGGGTGCCTCTCATCGTCCCCCCACCCCGCATCGCTGCAGCCAGCTGCAAAGGCCGCTCCGGTGGCAGGAGCGTCCCGGTGGCCGGGGCCCAGCTGGCAGCAGGCTGAGGTCTGGAGGTGGCTGGGAAGCGAGAGGTGGTCCGTAGAAATGCTTCCCGCTACTGCTGGGATGAGAAACGGCCAGACGGGCCCAGACTGCAGCGCCCGAGAGCGTGGGCAGGAACGGGCAGCTCTGCCAGGAGCCGCCATGCCAGCTACCCGGCACTCACGGGGAGCGGGCAGGGCTTCGCCATCTTCCTAAGTAGTTGGGAACCGGCTGCTCCAGAAAGCAGGACTTACTGGGATGAGTGGTAGGAGCACGCCCAGCAATACCAAACACCTTACAAAAAGGATGGAGGGCAGGGAGTCGAGAATGCGGAGCCTGGAGGTGCAAAGGGTCCGGAGAGGGGCCGAGCATCAGAGCCCCGGCACGGGGTAGCACTGGGACAGGTATGGGGTGCAGCCGGGGGAACCAGAGGGAGAGGGCAGACAGCCCCCGCGAGCTGCCCAGCCTCGGCACCCCCAGGACGAGGTGCCCCCGCAACGGCTGCAGCTTCCCGGGGTGCCACGGCAGCACCCCACAGCCAGGAGTCACCGAGCTCACGGCAAAGGTGCGGGATGCAGGTCAGTGGGACGGGCAGCTCAGCCCTGTCCTGCCAGGGCTGCCGCAGGCGCAGGGACCACAAACTGCAAGAGGATGAAGTCTGAGACCGATCCTGGTGGCACCCCCCTCTCCTGCAGCTGGGGAAAGTCAGCTCGGGCAGAGGGGTTTTCCACTGGGAAAGTCTGGATTTCCCAAATCCACTCCCTCAGACAGCAGGACTCGCCACGGCTGCTGCGCGCTCGCCACCTGCAAGCAGGAAGGCCCCTTGTTCGGGGTGGACCCCAAGAGCCAGGCCTGACTTCCTTGCTAGAAAACAACCCCTGGGAAGTGAGTCCCAAAGGATTTGGGACAGGATTTGGGGCAAGCATCCATGCCAGCTGCTCACAGGGGGAACACCCCTCCTGTGCAAACCACCCAGAGGGATGAAGCTCCATGGGGATACCAGCCTGACCACCGAGGCTCAGCACCCCCCGAGGCTCGGCACCCACTGCCCAGCCTCGGAGCTGGCTCCCACCATCCAGCGAAGGAGGGAAGGAGCCGGTGGGAGGCCGGGGGAAGCACCCTGCTGCTGCTGCCAGGCGTTTCCTTTTAAAGCCAGAGCAAGAAGTGGTTACAGCCCGTTTCCTCCAGCGCTGACCACTAACCCGCTGCCCTGCTCCTCTCTCCCGGGGCCTGGAGCACCCGTCCCATCTGGGACGGCACCAGGGCGGGAAAGGCAGCCTGGCCGCGGTGTGCCAGCACCACGGGGGGACCTTGGGGCAGGGTGGGACGGGTCCGTCAACCGAATGTCCATCTGTGCCCTCTCTCACATCCATACTTGTCTTCTCTGCGCCTTCTTACTTCCTTTTCTAACCTTACCCATCATCCTGCTGCTGCTGCTGCTCTTGGTCCCTTCCTCCTTTATCCATCTAGCCCTGATAAGCACCATTTGCCAGCTCGAAACCACAGCTGCACGCTTGAGGCACGCTTCCTGCAGCGAGGGGCCAGCTGGCCAGCCCCAGAGAACATCTTCCCCATTTCTACCTCCCGGGGTCCCATCTGAGGTCCCTGCTTCGGATCGAGGAAACCGAGGCATCGAGGGATGCTCGCCCACAGCCCTGGGGAGGAGGTCCCCAGGAGGACTGACCTGTTCCTCGCGGGTTTTAGCCAACAAGAAATGAGGCTTTTCCTCCCGAGCAGCCTGCCCAGCCCTTATCCATGTCTGCTCCCAAGCACCGCATTTCCAGATTGCTGCCTGTTGGGATGGCAGCTGGGCTGAATGGGGAAATTTAACCTCTTTTCTATCCTCAGCAAGAGCTGAAGCTCAGGTCACGGTACCCTTGCTCCTGCATCCTACCTACAACCATGCAAAACCACCCCAAAGCCACAAACAGGGACAAGGCGTGACCTTCCACAGCCAAGGTAAGCAAGCCAACTGCTGCTTGGCATGAAGCAAGGCGCAGGACCCATGCGGCATCAGGTCCCACGGGCTCCTGGCCACTCGGGTGACTGCCTACAGCACCCACCGCTCCACGGGACCCCCAGCCATCCGCCTCAGCTGACCTGCCCCCGCTGCCCGCAAGTCCCTTCCTCTTGCAAAGGTGGAGGGCGCAGGGGCGAGCTCGGAGCAGGGCATCGCCCGTCGGGTTGGAGCATCCATCCTGGCTCTTCCCCTTCTTCAAATGCAGCTGCGGGTGAGTAATGCCAGAGCGCTCCCCGCTCCAGCACCCGCAGCCTTCGCCCCCCGGGGCCGTGCTAGCAGCAGTCCGCCCACGAGGGCCATCCGCAGCTTCCCTCCCCAGTGCTGCGACCGTGGGGAACACAGGGTGTTTCAAGTAAAAGGAGGCTCTTGCTAAACACTGCGGCTCAGAAAAACACATCCGAGTGCCTCTGCCCTCGGCTCTGCCTTTGGTATTTTCAGGCAAATGCTTGCAAAGCCCCTGGCAAAACCTTGAGGTGATGAAAAAGCAGCATCTAAGGGAAAGGGAAGAAAGTCCAGCGTCTGCTAAGGCCAGCCTGGATTTTGGGCAGCAGGAGGAGTATCTCGGATGGAGCAGGGGGCACAGCAAGCCCCACATCGCTGTCTGTGCTGGGACTCGGCCAGAGCGTGGGAAGGGTTAGGGAGAGCTGACCCAGCCGGGGGAAGCCCCACAGGGAATCTCCAGCACCGTGGGTGTTTTGTAATCCCTTGGACCATTTTCCGCCCTCCTCCGCGGGTGTTTTTGCAAGCCGGTGATAACGGGGCAGGGCTGCGTCCCTCATGTGACAGTGCCTGCCCGCTCCCTCCGGCACCCAGGGAAGGGAACTCGGCGGTGGGGAAGGGGCTGACATTTGGGCCAATGTCACATGCTGTCCATGCCTCGCTCCTGGGAGGAGAGAAATCCCCTTGAACTGCTCGGTGTGGCCAGAGGGACCGCCGGGTCTCTGCCGCCGTTTGCCACGGGGCCATTGCGCGATGCTCACGGCTACAGCGGATGGGGGGCTTCGCCTCCAGGGATGGGACCAAGTTTAGGGGTGACGTGGGCTGGGAGATGCCTTGTACACGTTGAGTTATGGGTTATTCTTTCCTTGCAGAGGTTCAGCTGTGGCCCATGTGCCCTCCCGGGGCAGTTTTGGACCCCGGTCCTTCGCTGCGGAGCCCGGGGCTGGGCAGAGGAGCAGGGTCCAGCATGGGAGGCTGGAGGGCAGCCAGCGAGCTGAGCGGGACCTGTGCTTTTAAAGGCCTTTCCCTTTGCTTTTGAAGGCTTTCTGCGTCAAAAATGCAGCTCTGGTCTCTGCAGCTAGTGCTCTCCCAAGTAAACGTGCCGCTGTCGCTCCCAGCTGCCGGCATCCAGCTCGGCTCAGCTACGACAACATCCCTCCCTTGCACGGGACGGGAACCTACCCAGCCAGGGCTGCTGCTCTCCTAAAACCTGCCGCTCCGCGTCATTTTGGGGAGGGGAAAGGAGAATTTCTCCGTCAATGCTTGCTTCTCTCTGTCGCCTGCCTCTGAAAGCAGAGGACTTCCTGTCAGAGGAAGCCCTGCCAGATCCAAGCACGCCCAGACATCCCGAGGCCGCCTGCAAGAGCCTTCCTCCCTCTCCTCTCCCCCCTTCCGCCTCCGGCTCCCGCTGCGCTGCATTCCCGGGAACCGGCCCAGCGCCCTTCCCGGAGCTCCCGGAGGACTTGATGCTCGCCCGTCCCTCCCGCCGTGTCCTAACTGAACTCTGGAAAAAAGCACTGGGGTTTTAAAGAGCTTTTGTAAGTGCACTCACATCATGTCTAGGCACTTCTTTTTTCTTTTTTCTTTTTTTTTTTTTTTCTTTTCTTTTCTTGGGGTTTGTTGGCTTTTTTTTTCGCATGCAAACCCAAAATCCCCAGGTAATAAATAGCATGCACAAAGGCCGGCTTGGGCAAACAGCTGGCCCCTGCAGAGAGCTGCATGCAAAAGAGCCGTGCCTGCTTGCAAACTCTGCAGACACATATATAAGGGGACGTCGGCGCGGGACGTACCTCCTGCAGCAAGGTCACCTCGTACTCCTGCAGCTGCTGCTGAGCCAAAGTTTTGGGGCTGACGTAGGACCTCACGGCCTTGGTGGCGGCCAGGCAGCCCTCCCAGCCCAGCTCGGTCACCGTCATGAGGTAAGCCACCAGGACGGTGGTGCTGCGGGAGACCCCGGCCAGGCTGGCACGGGGCGAGGGAGCAGCGTCAGGGAGAGGTATTCCCACCACGGAGGCTGGTGCGGCCCCGCAGCCAGGGACACCCATGGGATGCATCTTCCCATGGGCAGCCCCTCTCGCTGGGGTGCTAGCGGGGTTCCCCTGCCATGGGTTGGGTGGGGGGGGGTAAGGAGCCACATGGACAGGGAGACACTGCTGGTGGCTCCGGGCAGGCGGCTTCCCCGTCCCCTCCTCTACCCTCTCCCACCCCTTTGGATGCTCAGGTTTTCAGTGCACGGACCACCCATCCCCATGGGTCTCGGCCGTGGACACCTTTCCCTGTCGCCCTCCCACTGTTCCTTGTCTTCTCCTCTTCTTCCTCCCCACCCCAAGTGACGTTTGACGTCGAGGACGCTTTTTGGGAGCCCATCCCCACCTCCCACAGGACCGATGCAAACCGGGGATATGAGGCGGTGACAGCAGCTCTCACCAATGGACGAGGCAGCCTCCTCCACCGAGCCGGCATTCGTGGATGAACTTGATGCACTCCTTAAAATGCTGCAGCCTGCAAGAAGAGAGACGGGGAGGTGAGGATGGGAGGGCTGCCCACCCCTGCAAGGCACCTGGCCACGCCAGCAGCAGCAGTCGTGTCCCCCCCGCCCAGGACTTCCCACCACCTTGGGGCCACCGGCATGGGGTGGGAGCAGAGATCCTTCCTCTGCCAGGCGAAGGCAGAGGGGCTGATCTTCGTCTGCCAGGAAGGAAATGACCTGGGAGACTTTCCGGGGGATTTCCTGCTTCCCAAGGCATCGGGATGGGAGCAGGGCGATGCCATCAGCCAAACCAGCTCAGGGAGGACCCCAGGGAGACAGCCTCCAGGGCAAGACGTCATCTCGTGCCCAAGGGACATGCACATCCCGTCAGAGGTTGTCCTGAGCCATCGGCTCACCCCTAATTCCCAAACGATGCCAAAAACACCCGGTCCCCTCCAAGGGAAAGATGCCGGCAGGGAAGAAGGCAGAGAGAAGGGGGCTCACGAGGCGTTTTGCCTGCAGGTCCCAAAATGGTGCAAGTCCCTTCCCCCTCCTCACCCCAAGCAGCCCCTCCGGCCCCTTCCCACCCAAGGGAGGGCACGGAGGGGTGCTCGTGCCAGGGAGGTCGGGCCGCCAGCAGCAACGCAGGCTCGTCCCTGGATAGCTGCTTGCGTTCCTGAAAGCATAACCAGTAACTGCCGGCAAGGCAGAGGGAGCACGTTAACCCTAACCAGTGAGTTTCGCAGCAAAACAGGGCAGGGCAGGGAGCCGGGGATTTCTGGCAGCTCAGCTGCAACGCGCTGTGGTGCTTCTCTCCTCCTGACCTGGATGCTCAGCAATGTGAGCAGCACCCATCTTTTTGAAGGCACGGAGACCTAGAAAACAGGATAAATAACTCCACGTGTACTGATGAGATAGAGGTGGGTGTTCGTGGGGGGGGTTAAGCGGGCTCCGGTGAGACGCATCTCTCCCGCTCATCACTGCACGGGATGCTGGAAGCCAGTGCCGATCCCTCTTGAACACAGCGGGCATCTCCGAGAGCCCTCGCCGAGCCAGGTATTCGGCTCCTCAGCACGTGTTTGCAATAAACGCTGCCCATCCCCGCTCGCCCTCGCGATCCCACCGAGGCCTGGGGGAGTTTTGAGGCGGAAAACCTGGTTCTGGGTAGCTTGGGCTGCTGATGGACTCCCTGATCACGCAGCCCCGGCTTTTTTTTGGGAGGAGGAGAAGAGGGTCCCTTCGGCGCAGCCGAGCTAGAGGAGCCCAGCAGCGAGCGCGGGAGCCAGCGGCGCCTCTGGCCCAGCGCCGGACTTCCTCTGCCTCCGCGTGATGGGGTGGGCGTGCGCCTGCACAGCCTTCCTGATTTCTCAGAAGCCAACGCACGACCTATCGCAGAGTTATTCCCCTCGCCGAGGGTTCACTCCCAGCGCATCCTCCCCCGAGCATCCTCCAGGTCCCAGAGCCAGCTTCCCTGCGGGGAAAAGGCAGAACCCTCTGAAACCTCCCCCATCCCTGCTAGCCCATCGCAGGGGACGCTCTTCACCCTGCCCTGGAAGGGGAATCGAAGGGGATGCTGCTCTTCACCCTTCCCTGGAACGGCAGGGCTCAGGTGCCTTCTAAGAAACCAGCCAAGGACGCGTTTGAAAATAGCAGGGGGTCCTGCTGCCCAAGAAGAGGAGAGATGGGGGAGTCTCTGGCGATGTGATCGTACTAAAAATATGGAGCCTCTCGGCCCTGGAAGGAAATGTACGTCCATCGCTCCTCGTGGGCTACAGATGTGCCTCCTCCTTGACCACCGTAGCAAAGGGAGCATCACCCTTTGGGGGGCCTTTCCTCGCCTAAAGCTTGTCCTGGGGGATTTCTCCTCATCCTACTTATCTTCGCAGAGCAGACAGCATCCCCCAGGGCCTGCACGTGTTGCCTACACAGGTCCAAGCTCTCCAGATGCCAGTCCTCCGCTTCAGCCCCTTGGCTGGGACCAGCAGGGATGCACCTTGCTTGCAAGGACACGGTGCTTTTGCCTCCAGCTCCCTCGGCACGCTTGCCGCCAGCCTCCAGCCTGCTCCATGCACACGGCATCGCTCTCCCAACCCATCCCGGAGGGAGGCAGGTGAGCGCTTCAGCCACCCCATCCATCCTCAGCCGCTCCATGGGGGTTTTCCCCCCCACACACACGTGGCCAGGCAGAGGAAAGCTCTCCCCGTGATTTTCCAGCCTCGAAGCGTGGGATCGGGGCATGGAGCCTGGTAATGCTGAGAGCCACTGAGGTCCTGAGTCACAAGAATCTCCTCTGCAGGACACGAAGTTCACCAGGATTGTGAAATCCAAGGCATAAACTGACAAGCAGAAAATCGTTCCTTGAATATGTCTTCCTTCCGCAGCCAGCCTTATCTTCCCCCTCCCTTTTTTTTTTTTTTCCTTTCGGTAGACATGCCACAAAGGCAAAGAAATGAGAGAAGAGAAAGAATAACCAAAAAACCCTGTTCTTGCTGAGGCAGGGCTTTCTTGTAAAGCTTCTCTTTCCGCTCAGTGGGAGCATGAGCAAGCAGAATCACACCCCCGGGCACGGCTGCTCCCGAGGATGCTGGAAAACCAGCACCTCCACGAACGGGCTTCGCTCCCCTCACTGTGCATGAAGTTTTGATCCTTTTTAGGGCTTGATCGGCGAGAAAAAAATCCCTCAGAGTCGCCCATTGTCTGGGTGCAATGGATGGTTTATGGATGCCCGTCACCCGAAGCAGCAGTGGGGTGCTGCCACCCCCCCTGGTGCCAGCAGCGCCTGCGCCCATGGCACCCCAGCACCGCGTCCCACGAAAGCCCGGGGCTCCCTTGCAGCACCTCTCGCCACCTTCATCTCGAGAACGTCATTAAAGGACTTAGGAGTATCCATGCTTTGTGTGGGGAAAAAAAAGTATTCATTTTAATAAATATTTTATTTCTCTTTCCAAGAATGTCTGGAAGACTGACACAAATCATTGTCTTTCTAAACCAATTAAAAATGCTCCAATTTTCAACCCTGCCCAGTAGAATAATTCTGAAATTTGACGGAAAATTGAATTTACTGACTGCAAACACACACAGAAACAGACTTTAAGCCCTACAAAAGCTATTTACTGCCTGAAAACGAACCGCAGCTTTTGTCAAGCTCAGCAATGATACCGAGTTTTTGCAGCGCGAGTGAACTGAACCTTCATCCTGCAGAATTTGAATATTTGTTGACTGATAACTACCCAAACGCAACCCTGGGGGGCAAAAGGATGGCAAACGACTTACAGGTTTTGACTGGATGAATCCGAGGCCGAGATACAGAGATAGGTCATGTCCTGCAATGCAAAGATGGTTGCGGTAGTAAGATACCTCCGAGAAACACAAAATCCCCCATTTCTCTCTTTTCCCTCTCCCCAGCTGATCCTTCGGTGAGAGGAAAGCTGAAATCTGCTTTTGGGTGCCATCACCCCGCTCCCTACAGGTAGGGAGAACCATGAAGGGTCGCATCCATCCCACCCCAGGCTATTTCCCCCCCATTTCAGCCCAGAGGAGAGGCCAGGCTGCGGGGAACCACTACGATGCTCAGGAGCCCCCCGAAACCAAGCCACCCCTTCACCGGGGCCCCGACCGGCGAGCCCCGTCAGGAAGACGTGTGCGAACACGCACCGATGAAGTCGCTCTCATCAATGAGTTATTTCCTCCCGGTCCTTTTAATACACAATAAATCATCCTGCCGCATGTTGGCATAGGTCAGATTCCTTTCTTTAAAACATCGCTTCCTCGATCCTCCCTGTTCTGAGCTAAAATTAGATCCTTTACATCTGAGGTTGGGGTTTTTTTTTGTTTTGTTGGGTGGTTTTTTTTTTAACCTTCTTAGCAAAATGGGTGGAAATCCTGCCAGCCGGAGCCGAAACAGCCGAGCACCAGGGATTGCCTCATCTCCATCAGCTCCCCGTGGCATTGCTGCCGAAAAGTCCCCCCTGGGCTGATGCAGCCCAACCCCACAGGCCACCCTCGCTTCCCTCCAGCCCAGGGCAAACCGGGAGGCTGGAAAAAGCCAATTATTTAAGGAGGGAAGGGACAGAGCGAGACAGGCACGGTGATATTTCTGCACTGGAAAGACCAACGTTGCGAGGGTGAGCGCGGATGGGCTTTCCCGCACACGTCCGTCCCATCCATCCTCCCCAGCCCCATCCCACGCTCGCCCCCGCCACCCTGCAGCCTCTCGTGGGACGGGGACGAGGTGCCGCAGCGATGTGCCGCTCGCCAGCTCCCCGTGGCGTGCCAGCCGGCTGCTCCCTGGCCGGAGAAACTGCCGGAGAGGCCGGGAGGCGGGGGGAACGGAGCCGGTGGGTTCCTCATCCGTGCCCCAGGCCAAACCACGGCTCCCCGGCATGCAGGGGATGGCGGGTGCAGGCAGGAGCTCGGCGGGTGGAAGGGGACCTTGCACCAGGCAGGGGCACGGAGACCAGCAAGCGAACGCCAGCAGGTTTTGTGGGATGAGCCGTAATGGGCTGTGGCTTCCCAAAACCTGGCTGCACCGTGCCACGCCTGGTATCAGCCCGTCCTCCCCGTGGTGAGGAAAGCCACCGTGCCGGCAAAGCCACCATGCCAACCAGTGGAGCAGCCGAAACGACCCCACTCCTCCCCAAACCCTGACCCACGCCCCGATCCCGGATTAACTGCCGGGCTCCCAGCGGCTTCCCCTTCCCCACGGGCCTGGGTGCCCCCATCCCGCCTCGGGGAGCTGGGCCACGCATGGGAACGGTGCTGGGGTTTGCGGTTCCCGACCCAGAGCCGTGATTGACACATTGCTCAACCCACCATGCCTTTCCGGTTCCCCTTTCTGCCAGCCCGGTGGCTTGCTCCGTGTTGTAAGCTCGCCGTGCGGTTTGCTACCCGTCTGGCCGTGCCCCGAGCCCCGCCAGCCCCAGCTGCTGCCCCTTCTCCAGCCCTGAGCCGTTTCTCTGCACCGATTTTATGCAGCCTCCTTCCTTCTCTCTCTCTCTCCCCCTCTTCCACTGTTACTCAATGCCTTAGCGGGGAAAAGGCTCGAGCTGGTGTTTTGCTGAGGCTCCCTGCCCACCGTGGCCCCAAAGGACGGGGGGGTCCCGGCAGTCCCCTTCGCCTTCTGCAGCATCCCAGGATTTGGGAGCTGGCAGCGGGTCCGACGCCGGGATGAAGCGCAAGTTGCCTGCGGCC